TTAGGGGGGGGGGCTTTTATGTTGGAGGGTGGAAGATTCCAGTGCCAACTCTTGAGCTCTACCGTGGGCTGGAATAATTGCGGGTTTTTCGGATACCGTCAAGTCATGTGAAAATTTCCTTACAACAGTTCTCATTAGCCATTCCATGATGCTTTCTGTTGAAATGACAATGAAAAGGGTAAGAACTTGAAATGTCTTTGGCATGGCTTCGCACGAAGCTTCTTTTGCTTATTTGTCAGGGGTCCTAAACAAAGGCACCATTTGGATTAGGCTGTCAACAAACAGTTGCGACTTATGTCTTCCCATGAAGAACCTGTGAGCATGTAGTTGTTGCCCTGTTTGCTTTTTGTCCTGAAAGATCCATTCTTCCCAGTTTCAGACCGTCTCTATTCAGTAGGCTTAAAGGCAACACCGGTAACTCTTGTAGGATACCATGGAGTCCAGCTGTTTTTGAAGTTTCCGATGACAATCCGTAGGGGAGATGTGGGATATTATTGGGTGCCAATCTGTGCACACCTCTTCCCCCTCAACTGTGGCAAAACCAAGGTGAAGACTGCGCTTTATGTAATGCAAGATTAATGCGTCTCAGCGTGACAGCTGTTTCTGCATTGCTTGCTAAAATCTAAAAAATAGCAAAAAGCACCGTCCAACTTGGAAAAAGGCGTACCTTGTCCGAGACCTGCCACAGCGTTCCGGCAAGTATGTCTGTGCGAGAATCACCAGTGAAGAATTTACGAGCAAGCTTCCTAGAGCATTAACTCCCCTGCAGTTGACAAGCAGCAGTAGCTTTTTGAAACCTTGCTCGTAAGAGTTTATCGCTTTGAACAATATCTTCATCCTAGTTTAGAAAATGTAGCTTTATTTGTGAGCAAAACACAAAGGCACTCAGTTCAATAGATGAATCTGTCATCGATCAGCTTCACGGATTCCTCTTCTCGAAGTGTGTGCAGGGCCGAGCGAACACGTGAGATCTTAGCTTCGGGCATTTGCTGAAATCATAGTACGAGCAGGCATAATGAGAATCGCCATAAACGGCTTTCGTTAAACCTCGGTATAGTGTAATTGTTGATTTCTCTGTTCGAACTCCAGCAAGATTAATCAAACTATTTATTAGTGGCTGATGTTTCGGTTGAATTTTATAAGCCTCGCTGGAGCTCGAGCAGAGAAATCAACAACCCAATGAGATTGCCTATAGGAATGCTAATTTACCTCAAACTGGTCGAGCAGAATCATTGTTGGACTGCTATCGTCAGAGCAAATAGAAATCAGTTCAATCATATGTGAGCAGCCCAACTCCTGAAATTGAACCGAAGTCAGGGATGATCAAGAAAATCAAGGTTAAGGGATGCAGGCCAACTAGGCCTAACTTTCCATGAATGGAATGAAAATGAGTGGTTAAGTTCAAGTTTTAATGAACCTTTTCTGGACAAAAACAATTAGGTTGGCAAGCTGTGGGCAAAAGTGAGCCCAGCTTCAGATGGGATCTTAGTAGCGAAAGAAATAAAAACCTTGCAAAGCACTGAGTCCCCTCACTGAATATGCTTTTGCCCGCAACTGGCCAATCTTGGGTGCATTCCGTATCGCGGCAGAAGGGGAAAGTCCGTTCCGCGCGTCTATCAAAACTAATTCACCCGTCGGCTTCGCGCGCGGCCCTGCCCACTTACGGTCTCGAGATGACATTTCAGTAGCAGCAGGTGTCAGTGGAGCGAATGATTTGAACTAGTCCGCGTTATCTTCTCTTTGAGCTGAGTGCCGAGGACCATGAGCAAATCGTATGCTCCTCAGACAACTGCGACGTCCGTCAAGCATCGCGGGCTGACGCGCCGCATGCGCACGCCTGCGACGTGACCTAGTTCCGAAGGACGCGCTGAACGAAACAAAAAGAAAGGAGGCGGAAAAATAACAGCTGAGCTCGATTAAAGGCACCGTTTACGATAAATTTAGGGTACCCTGTTTCGACGGGAATTGATAGAACTACTCTAGAATAAAGCGATAACAACGAAAAAAGCGCAAAAAACGATGAACAAAAAGAAATAGAAAGGGTCAAAAAAGAGCTGGAAAGGGGGGTTGGACGAGTCTCACATTGGAAGAACGGCGGTTAAGGGAGTGTTCGGGCGAGTGCACGAAGGCGACGCAATGTCTGCAATAGCAGACAACACACCCAAGCGGACACATCGCTCCAATGCGAATGTGGTG